TGCACTTGTTGATAACTTTGATACCCATCATCTATGTTATATGAGGAAGCCAGGGCAGAGAAATGAGAATACCAATGGAGATAATAATAATGATGATGATGATGGTAATGATGATAATGAGTCGATGAAGAGTAATGATGAGAGGGGATATACGCAGATGTTCTTCTTTGATTATGAAGCACGACAAGAGGATGAGGGCGTTCATAAAGCAAATTTATGTATTGTTCATAACGAGAGTGGGGACGAGTGGATTTTTGCGGTGAGAATACAAACTCGGATTTTTGTAAGTGGGTTTTTACTAAGGAACACCAAAATTGCATATTTATAGCCCATAATTTTCAAGGGTATGATGGATACTTCATTCAAAATTTTTTAAACAAGAATGCTGTGAAATATGACATTATTTTACGTGGCGCAAAAATTCTCTCTCTATCGGTTCCCATGCTTAATATCAAGTTTATCGATTCTCTAAATTTTATTCCTATGTCTCTGGCAAATTTCCCTAAGACATTTGGGATTGATGAGATATGCAAGGGATATTTTCCTCATCTGTTCAATCGAAGAGAGAATGAGAATTATGTGGGTCCAATACCGTGTGAGGCTTTTTATAATACAAATGGAATGAAGGAGGAGAGTCGTGAGGCATTCTTGGAATGGCATAAAGAGCAAAGGCGAGAGAATTATATTTTTAATTTCAAGGATGAGATTATAAAATATTGTCGATCCGATGTAGATATCTTACGTCGATGTTGTATGGAGTTTCGCGAGTTATTTAGAGCAATCACAGATATCGATCCTTTCGAGAAATGTTTGACTATTGCCAGCGCATGTAACTTGGTTTTTCGTGTTAATTTTCTTCAAGAGGAGACCATTGGTATTTTTCGCTCCGATTATCAAATGAAAGTGAAACAATCCAACATGGCATTAAAGTGGTTATCTTACATATCGGAGAGGGAGGATATTTTTATTGCTCATGGGAGGAATGGGGGAGAGAAGCGTGTCGATAGATATTCACTAGATGGATATAATATTGAAAGAAATACAGCATATGAGTTTCATGGATGTATATGGCATGGTATGTATTTAAATATGTCATTTATTATTTATTTATTTATTTATTCTTAATAGTATTATTATTTTTATTATTTTAGGCTGTAGAAAGTGTTATGCTCGTGATACTGTTAATCCTGTTAATGGGAGAACAATGAGCGATCTCTATGAGTCTACAGTGAGGAAGAATCTCCATCTAAGGGAGCGTGGATATAAAGTGATAGAGATGTGGGAATGCGATTTAAAGAAGGAGCTAGAATTAAACGAGGACATGCGTACACATTTCGAGAATCATGATCTTGTTGATCCTCTTCAACCGCGTGATGCATTCTATGGGGGACGTACAAATGCCACGAGGCTCTTTTATGAATGTGAAAATGATGAGAAGATAAAGTAAGAAATGAAAAAGAGTTTCTGTGACGTCATTTTTTCTATTCTCATTACGTCATTTTCTATTTTTAGATACGTTGATTTTACTAGTCTCTACCCGTGGTGCAATAAATCAACAAGAACTGTTGTTGGACATCCAATTATTATTACAGAGAATTTCTCAGATATATCGACATATTTTGGATTGGTAAAATGTACAGTATTACCACCACGAGGATTGTTTCATCCTGTTCTTCCTTATCGCGTTCCAGGCAAATTGTTGTTCCCCCTATGCAGAACGTGTGCTATCTCATTTAATTCAAGTCCATGTACACACTCAGAACAAGAAAGATCCATTCCGGGGACATGGTGTCATGTGGAACTATTGAAAGCTGTTGAGAAAGGGTATCGAATTTTAAAAATTCACGAGGTGTGGCACTTCCCAAAACAGTCCGAGAACTTATTTAAGGATTATGTTAATACCTTTCTAAAGATAAAGCAGGAGGCGAGCGGTTTTCCAAAGGAGTGTGTAACGGAGGAACAAAAGCAGTCGTATATTGATATGTATTTCCAACATGAAGGTGTAATGTTAGATATGGAGAAGATATCACATAACCCTGGTTTACGTGCATTGGCAAAATTAATGTTAAATTCGTTTTGGGGTATGTATGTATGTATGTATGTATGTATGTATGTATGTATGTATGTATGTATGTATGTATGTATGTGTATGTATGTATTTTTCTATAATTATATTTTCTCTCCTAGGGAAATTTGCACAGCGTCCTAATGTAACAAAAACAGAGATGATTACAAGTCCACAAAGATATTTCGATCTTCTTTCCTCCGATGAGTTTGAGGTGTGTGATGCAAAGATAGTAAATGACAGCATGCTTGAAGTGCAATATAAGAGTACAAGTGAATTTTTGGAACCTAATAACAAGACAAATGTTGTTATTGCTGCTTTCACAACAGCATATGCCAGGTTGAAACTTTATGATCTCTTGGATATGTTACAAGAACGTGTACTTTATTATGATACCGACTCGGTTATTTATATCTCGAAACAAGATGAGACAGATCCGCCGTTGGGAAATTATTTGGGAGATCTTACAGATGAATTAAAAGGAGGATATATCACAACTTTTATGTCCGGCGGTCCAAAGAATTACGCGTATCATACTAACGATGGGAAGTCAGAGACAAAAATTCGAGGTATCACATTAAATCACTCTGTTACTCAAAAAATAAACCCAAATACTGTTCGGGCTCTTGTGTATTTACATGTAAAATGTAATATAAAAGCAAAAATAACAGTAGATAACCCGTTTAAAATTACAAGAGATAGAAAGGAGAAGAACATTGTATCAAAGAGGATGAAGAAAGATTATCGTATTGTTTACGATAAACGTGTGTTAATAGATAATTTCAAGACACTTCCATATGGTTTCTAAAAAGGCACGTGCAGAAAACAAAAAGCACGTGCAGAAAACAAAAAACACGTGTAGAAAACAAAAAACACATGCAGAAAACGAAAAAACACGTGCAAATATAGAATTAAAAACACGTGCAGTTATGTATAAATAAGCACCATTAAATTTGATTTTTCTCATTCACTTTCTTGTTTTCAAAATGAACGCTACACATTATGTTATTGTTACATTTAAAGAAGAACGTTTATATGGAGATCTTCTGGATTATTTACAAAGAAGGAAGGATAAATATCAATGGGTTGTAAAGAAACCTGACGTTCACTCATTCGTATTTGAAGTATTCATTTGGTGGGGAGAGGGCAAGGAGTTCTCAACAACACCACTGCGCTCTTTTCTTAAACGTATGAGAGATAAAGAAATATTGTATAAACATGAAATACCATGTTTTGCAATTTCAAGGAAGATGAGAACAGAGCATGTCTCAAAAAAGTTTCCGAACATCCTCTCGAATGTGCTCTCAAATGGATTATCAAATATCGGTGATGAATTATATCATGTTATCCGACATCATGTACATTTGGCATCGTTAAAGATAGAGGAAAATGTGAATTTGCCTGTACCTACACCATCATCACCACCACATCCACCACCACCACCACCACCATCATCTCCGCAAGTGATACCACCATCCCCATATTCATCATGGGATGAGGAGACACAGAGCGAGACACCATTAATGTCCGAGACCTTGGAGAAAATGGATAAGAAGGTGGACTTAATGATGCGAACTGTTATTCGTCTAATAAAAATAATAAAACAAATGCCCGGATGTGTACCACTGGGTGAGCATGTGGAACAAGAATCTAATGCTAATGAGCAGATTTTAGCCTAGGAGAAAATGTTAACCTCTAGGAAAGAATGTTAAGAAAATGTTAAGTATTATCATTATTATTATTATTACAAAGGACACATATGTTCTTAAGAAAGTTCTTTTAATAAATTATTATTACTACTCTCTTAATATATTTTTCTATTTAACTATAGAAGATTTTAAATACTAGGGTTGACTCATTACCAAGTTTTGTTGTAGGCGCTGCTTGTTGAATTTGAAGGGTAAATCCAACGTCCTTATCCTCGGGCGTGAATTTAAATGTTTTATTTAGAATATACATTCTCTTATTCTTCGATTTTCTAATGTCTGAATCGGAATAGTTTATTGTCGCTAATGCTTTTGTTCTGTCATTAGCATTCTCATTCTGAATGGTTATTCTAAAACTGATAGTTAAACCTGTAGGAACTGTATGATCACTATCAAAGGTGTGTGTTAGAAGAACTATTGATACCTCCCCCTTGAGACATGGAAATACACTACCAGGATATCCACTGGGGTCCTCCGTCTCTGGGATCCATGCGGCCCCGCGAAGTGCGGACCATCAAGTGCTGAGAATTGGTATTTTGAGACAGTTATCGATTTTGAGGCCAACTCCGCATGCTTGTTAAATACGTCTATGAAATCTTGAGAGAAATTTGTATACGATATCTTCAATCTATTGTCTACAGTAATACTTCCATCCGCTTGCATTTTACCCGCAAGAAGAATATTTCCGAGCATGACATCTGCAAATTTATGTTTATCAAAATCTTTTGATGTGGAAAGAGATTATTGCTCCCCACACGTGAATCTCGATAGTCTTGGGACGTGAAATTCTTGAATTTAAATCCACCAAAAATAGTTAGAGATATTTTACCTCCATTCCGTTAACAGGGTCGTTTATTTTAGAATTTGTAAAGAAGAACTCAACTCTGAGAAGAGTTGGATTAAATGATCCAGCATTATTAGCCCGTGCCAAATAGTATTCATATGTCTCGTCATTTACTTTTATTGTCCCAATATTCTTTATTGAGCCAGCTACTGATGTAAAAGCAATTGGACTTGATTTGGCAGTATCAAAAGTTACCTTCTATATCCATATTTAGTTTTATCTTGAAACATAACAGCAAATATTACACCATAGGCATCCACGCTTGCATCCTCATTGTAGAAAACAACACCTGACTCACTTCCAGAATCGGAATACATTTCTATCTTTAAACCCTTACGTGCTCCTAGGAATGGGACCTTGGTCTCTCTTGTCTCTCTTGTAGAAACTAGATTTTTCCTCGTCCAACAGGTTTCCACGATCCACTATCATTAAATGTGAATGTCTCATAACTACCCTTACTAGCTCCCTTATCATCCTCGTAACTTACTTTCTCGAAATCCTTATCTACCATTAGAAGTTCACGTTTATCAGCTGAACTTAAATTTCCCACATCCCCTTTAGGCCCTGTAGGTCCTGCAGGTCCAACAAGGCCTGGAGGACCTCGTACCCCCTGACTTCCCTCATTACCTCTATCGCCTTTATCACCCTTATCGCCCTTATCACCTTTATCACCCTTATCACCCTTATCGCCTTTCGCCGCAACAGAGCCTGGTTGTCCTTGCGGTCCCGTAGGTCCTTGCGGTCCTTTATCCCCCTTATCTCCCTTGGGTCCTATATCCCCCTTGGACCTCTAGGTCCCTGCGGACCTATATCACCCTTATCACCTTTATCTCCTTTAATACCTCTATCCCCTTTACTACCATCACCACCGCGCGGTCCTTGAGCCCCAATGGATCCCCTATCGCCTTTATCCCTTTATCGCCCTTATCACCTTTTTGACCGGGAGGACCCCGATCCCCTTTTGCGCCGGGATCTCCCTTAATACCGCGAAGACCTTGAGAGCCTATAGCACCGTCTTGTCCTCGAGGTCCGGGAGGTCCTTGCAGACCTTGATCCCCTTTTGCACCTTTTGATCCTTGAAGTCCCTGGGATCCCTGAGGTCCAGGAGGTCCTTGATCGCCTTTGTCACCTTTATCACCTTTTGCAGCTGTTGTACCAGGGACTCCTTGCGGTCCTTGCTGTCCAACGGTCCTTGTACGCCCTGGTCGCCTTGTAATCCTTGTAACCCTCGTGCTCCTTGATCGCCCTTTAGTCCTTGCAGCCCTCGCGGTCCTCGAGGTCCTGTATCTCCTCGATCACCTTTTACCCCTTGAGGGCCCTGATCTCCTTTTCGTCCTGGTGGACCTGCAGGTCCCACACGACCTGTATCTCCTTTAGGTCCTGTATCTCCTTTAGGTCCTTCAGGTCCAATCTCGCCGCGCTCACCAGTACCTCCTTTTGCACTTTTAGGTCTATATTCATATTCATATCCAAAATTGAGATTACCGTGCGAATAGGGATATCCTCTCTTCATTATGAGTGGTTTATAAATGAATAGAATTTCCAGGAATCCTTACTTAAGAAGAGTATGTGTAATATATTTCAAAATGATTAAAACCTCACGTTGTAAACATGGGAGCAAAAAAATCAAAAACGAGATTAAATAAGAATATAGAGAAACATGCTGCATGTAAGGTAGGATTAAGTCTAGGTCATAAAGATTTAAAAACCGAAGGTAGTTTTCAGGTAGGATATTCAGTTAAAATAAATAAAGATTATAGACCTATTAATAGGCAAGGACCAAATATTGAACAGCAACCACCATTGCAACGATTACCTACTATTAAGGAAGAAACTATAATAGAAGAAACTATAGTAGAGGAAGAACAGTATGAGGAACCTATAAGATTATCTTCCAGTCTACCCATAATTAAAGAGCAGGGAGAGGGCAATGGATGAGTATCTCTCCAGTATTTATTATGACCCCAAACGCGTTGGAGGATTCGGTGGTGTAGAACGATTATATAACGATGTGAAGAGAGAGGGGAAATACGATATTTCTAGAAATAAAATTGAAGAATGGTTGATGAAACAGGATACTTATACTTTACATAAACCAGCACGTCGCCACTTCGGTAGAAACAGAGTCATTGTTGGCGGAATAGACGAATTATGGCAGATGGATTTAGCAGACATGCAGTCCATAGCTAAGGAGAATGATGGATATCGATATTTACTTATTTGCATTGACGTATTTTCAAAATTTACATGGGTTATACCATTAAAAGATAAGACAGGACCCTCATTGGTTGACGCATTTAAAACTATCCTAAAATCGGAACGAAAACCACACAAAATTCAAACAGACAAGGGTACGGAGTTTTTCAATAAACATTTTAAAGCATTAATGAAAAAAGAGGAAATTCAATTATACAACACTTACAATGAAACTAAAGCGTCAATTGTGGAACGCGTAATTCGCACCTTGAAGACAAAGATGTGGCGTTACTTTACAGCAAAGAAGACTAAGAGATATATCGATATATTACCACACTTAATATCCTCTTATAATAATAGCAAACATCGTAGCATTAATAAAAAACCAATCGATGTAAATTTAGAAAATGAACAAGAAGTGTGGCATACCCTATATGGAGACCGCAAGAGAAGAAAAATTATTTATAAATTTAATATTGGAGATCAAGTAAGAATCAGTAAAATGAAACGTAAATTTGAGAAAGGATATTTACCTAACTTCTCAAAAGAAATTTTTACCATTAGTAAACAAATACCACGCAATCCTCCTGTTTATAAATTAAAAGATTATGATCAAGAAGAGTTAGAAGGGACATTCTATAAAGAAGAATTACAAAAAGTAATTAAGGAGGACGATATTTATGAAGTTGAGGAAATCTTAAAAAAGAGGGGAAAAGGTAAAAAAGAGGAATATTTTGTAAAATGGATGGGATATCCTGCGAAATTTAACTCGTGGGTCCCTGCCTCTCAAATAAAAGATATTTAAAGTGTATTCTTATTATTATTATTCATTTATAACTTGAATCATGAACAACACAGACTTCTATATTACACTCCCTAGCGACTCCTCAAAAAGTATTTTCCCCGAGAACAAACAATCCGAATATACCACAAAAATCCCACACCGTGTCGAACTAAATGGCGAGTGGGAGGTTGGATTATATAACATCTCCTACATAAAATGGAAAATAATACAAATGAACGGAGAACCTATTCAATATACAGTAAATGGTGTAAAAAATAAGGGGGAGAAAAAAAAAATACTACGACTCCCTTGATGAGTATGTGAATGACATTAATAAATCTTTTACGGAAGAGATCAGAAAGAAAATCAATTTCAGCATACATTCAAGAAAAGTAACTATTACTTTAGAGAGTGGGTATAAAGTTAATTTACGAAGAGATCAAGCCATTATTCTAGGGTTTCTATCATTTAACGACACACAAATTGAGAAGAGAATTGAAGCTACTGAGACAGGAGCTCATGAAGGAAATATGCATAGAGAGACTGATATTTACATATATTGTAATATTATTCAACCTCAAATCGTTGGGGATAAGACACTCCCCCTGCTACACATCGTACCTTCAAAAAAAGACAAGGAATATCATTCTATAAAACACATACGATACATTCCTGTCCAAACGAAATCTTTTGAGGAAATACAAATTCTTTTAAGGAGTAGTACTAATGAACCTATTTCATTTGAACGTGGACGTGCATTGATAACACTGCATTTTAAACGCAAGAGTTATTTTTAAAAAATGAATCGTCGAAGAATTCAGGAGGGACATGGAAATTTCTTTCGTAGTATAGGAAGATTCTTTAGACCAATTGCCACAGAAGTGGGCAATATAGGTTTAAATGTTGGAGCTGGTCTACTTCAAAATTTAATTAACGATCTTCTTGCCGGAAAAAGTTCAAGAGCATCAGCTAAAGCACATGGAAGACAGGCCGGAACACGTGCTACAAACATGGCATTGGAAAAAGCATTACAAACATTAATGTTAAATCAGGCAGCAAATCAAACCCCAAGACAATCAGGTGGAAAAAAACGTAAGAGATCTCAATCTAGAAAACGATCTCAATCTAGAAAACGATCTCAATCTAGAAAACGATCCCCATCTAGAAAACGATCTCAATCTAGAAAACGATCTAAGAAAAGTCAAATCGGGGGGAGAAAACATAAAACGTCAATAAAACGATCTCTATCGAGAAAAGGTAGAAAAAAACCTCAAGCAGGAAAAGGACGTAAAACAAAACGTAAAACAAAACGTAAAACAAAACGTAAGAGACCCATTGGTGTTGTAAGAGCGCGTAACATGACTAAGAGACAGAGAAAAGCTCTCCCTAAAGACATATTTGGTTGAAATAAGAAAATACTTATATTTGAATGAATATTTAAAAAGTAATCATATCCTATCTGATATTGATGTAAAGAAGAAGTCCATATAAATCTCATAAGAATGAATAATAATTACGTACATCCAAATTCAAATCGTTGCGATAAAAGCGAAATTGATCTATTTGACATTCCATCTACACAATTAAGTTTGGAAAAAGGACGATGGGTTGATTATCATCCACTCTCCAGTGTAGAAAACGATGACGGGCCTATCACATTCATAACGGCAGGTACCGAAGACTATATCGACATGTCAAAAATGATTCTCGTGGTCGAACTGAAAATTACAAAATCGGACGGAACCTCCTTAGGCGGTGACGAACAATCAAGTGTAGCTCCCATAAACAATTTCCTACATAGTCTGTTTAAACAAGTTGATGTTTTTTTAAATGGAAAACAAGTTACTCCGGCTATGGGTACTTATGCTTATCGCGCCTACCTGGAAACCCTCCTGAATTACGATGTCTCGGCAAAAAAATCTCAACTCACCTCAGCATTATATTATAAAGATACCCCAGGACAAATGGATGAAACAGGAAGTCTCCCATCAGAAAAATCAGTGGAGGTCGTTACAAATGTCCCAAGTAGTGGTGTTGCCACTAAGAAAACCATAAAATTCATAGTACCGGGAAATGGAAATCAAGGCTTTGCAAAACGTCATAAATTTATTCAAGACGGAAAACTCTTGGTAATGTCGGGACCAATTTTTTGCGATATATTTATGATGGAGCGATTACTACTTAGTATGGTGGATCTCAAGCTAGTCTTAAACCGAAACTCTGACAAGTTTTGTTTAATGGATAAAAATGCTAATCCTATGAATGCTAAAATAAAACTTGTGGATGTAACTCTTAAAGTACGTAAGGTTAAAGTGAACGAGACCACTAAGGCACATGAACTGGCATTGAAATCGGTACCCGCTACTTATCCTATACGACGGGTGGAATGCAAAGCATTCACCATACCGGGAAACCTTCCACAAATAAGAAAAGATAATATGTTTGCTGGAATCATCCCCAAGACATTTGTTTGCGGTTTCGTAGACGCTGACGCTTTTAGCGGAGTTCACACAAAAAACCCATATAACTTCAAACACTTCAACGTATCATCGGTGACATTAACAGCAAATGGTGAAGAAATACCGTTTAAACAACTTGTCCTTAACTACAAAGATAACAAGGAAAATTTCATCCAAGCATATAACACATTATTCTCAGGCACAGGAAAAATGAATTATAATACCGGTCTCGATATCTCAAGAGAGGATTATTACAAAGGATATACCCTATACGCATGGGATCTCACTCCGGATATGTGCGGTGCCTCGCCCTATTTTAACACAGTGCAACGGGGTTCATTGACACTTGACATTACGTTTGCTGCTGGGGATGTTCCAAGTGCACCCATTTCCTTGGTATGCTATGGAGACTTTGAGAATGTCGTACAAATAGATTCGGAAAGAAACGTAATCTATGATATTTCTACATGAATACCACACAAATAAAAAACGTACTTGAACATCATCCTATAGTTAAAAAATATTTTTGCGGGGTGTTTCCGGCAGATGAAATACCTAAATTTCTAAAAACTTTCCCATGTGGATTTATTGTCAACACGGATCCTAGTACAAAACCTGGAACGCATTGGGTTATTTTTTATTTTACTTCAAAAGAGAACGGTGAATTCTTTGATAGTTACGGAAAACCACCTCAACATTATAAAGACGTATTTAGACCCTCCTTTGAGAATCTCAAATGGAATGCTCGTACCCTACAAAGTCATTGGACCGAAGTATGTGGTCAATATTGCATCTTCTATCTATACCATCGTTGTCTTGGATATACCATGAACAAAATTGTGAACATGTTTACGGATAATACATCATGGAACGATTGTGAAGTGGCATGCTATGTTAAGAAACATTTTAATGTTGTTATATTTAATCAACCCACTTGTGGGCTTAATCAATGTTGTAAAAAACTATTTTAAATAATAATAATAATAATAATAATAATAACAATAATAAAAAACACTTTTTGGAAAAAAACTCTTTATTTGAAAATATTTATACATCAATAATAATAATAATTCC